TTAGAAAATTTTTAAACAAATAAAATCCAGTAAAAATTCTGTTAAAACCTTAAAAATACCGAATATTTAAAGGTGCCGATATATGGGGGGTATACGATATTGTGGACTTATATAGCCAATTATATTTCAGGTGGTAAAGTACTCACAAGAAACTCCTTGTGTGAAATTTCAGACAATTCCTTTGAAAAATGTGGCTAAAATCACAAAAATACCGAATATCGGGGGGTACGTTATATGGGAGTTATACGATATCGTGGACCTATATAGCCCATCTTCGAACTTGACCTGCCTGCAAACAAAAGACAGATATGTGCAAAATTTTAGCTTCCCATCTTTATTTGTTTTGACTGTAGCGTCCCCCTCCATACTATGTATGGTATAGGGTATACAAATTTAAATATTATGGCATTTGACTTTGTTACAGTTTTTTTTTATCTCACCCTGTATATTTCTTTTTAAATTTGTAATAATTATTTTTCATTTAAATGTAGCGAACGGTATTTAAAGGACCATAAAAGAGCTGGAAGGTGTACCTTCACCCGGTCTCACTTGTCGGCCTAACAATTTATGGAATTTACGTTTTATGGTGCGGAAATATACGGATTGCGGTAATTGTAACGGATTGGGACAACTTCTGCAGGGAATTGTTTTTTTTTTAGTTCGTTCCAGGACAGAATGAGGCTTGGTGACCCAGGAAAAATTGTTGAAATAGATGAAAGTAAAATCGGAAATTCAACAGATGACATTGGGTAGAGGGACAATGGGATTTTGGAGGAATGAAGAGAGATTCGAATAAATGCTTTATTGTCCCGGTGGAAGAAAGAACGAGGGAAAGTGTGTTACCTCTCATTAAAAAATATATTCTCCCGGGAACTATAATTGTCTCAGATTGTTAGAATGTATGTTTTTTATAACATTATATTAAAATACAAGTAATAATATTTGTGTATATATATTTTGGGCTTATGACACTCTGCCGGAGGAGGGCTATACCCACTACAGGGTGAACCATTCCCTGAATTTTGGGGACCCTCAGACAGGGTACCGCACTAATACAATTGAACGACTATGGAGGCATTTGAAGGCTTCGCTGCCGGAATATAGCAGTCGGAAATTGATATATACAAAAGTGCATTTTCTTATGGTGGGGCAGCATGATGGGCAAAAATATATTTTCTGAATTTTAAAAATATGCCGGTATGATGTACAATCCTGCTAATCCAAAAACGTAGGAAGAGCGAGCAAAATTTTTAGCTGAATCTGTAGAAGAAGAAATAGAATTTGAAATTTGACTTTTTATAAATAATCAAATAATTTAAAATCCAATTATTGTTATAACGTGTTAAAAAAATGTTGATTTTTTTTCTAAAATTTGCACATGTTCAGGGTCTTAAGATTTTCTCTTCTGGGTATGTTCAACCGGCTCCTCAAACTAAAGTTCTTCTAAATTTAACAGTTGTTGTTAGTAGCCGACTTTCGGCCGGGGATTGAGATTTTCTACTCTGGGCATGCCCCACACCGGCTAACGCGTAGGGAAGTTTTCTTAATTTGATACTTTTGTAAGTCCAACGCCGGCTACGCGAAGTAAAGCTTTGATTTTATTGAAAACATAATTTTTATAATCTGGTTAGAATCGGGTTATGCGGGTAGAAAGACCCATATCTCTGGACTCAGAAAGGGTATTAGCACAAATTTCACTTCTTCAACTACAATTTGGTATCAATTTTGTTGACCCCCTTAATGAACCGTTTTTCGACTTTTTGGGGGTTTTATAAAAAATCCGGGTCCATAAAATCGATAATTTGACTATAAATTACCCCAATATGTGACCACTTCTTGGATAGGCCTGGATCGTGAGATGTATTATTTATTTCATTTTTTAAGAGTTTGTTGAGGGTATAAATATTAATTGGTAAGTTTTGGGTATTACTTAATCAATGAGGAAGACAAACGGACTTAATAAACATCATTTAGATATTGTATCTAAAAAAGGCGTACAGAGGAACAACGAAAGATTATTCAAATGAACTCGAGAGGAACAAGTAAAAGTGAGATTGATTATACTTTGGAATGCTCCAGGAAGATAGTTTATAATGCACTAAGACATATTCAGAAGTATAAAACATCTGAAAATGCTACACAGGTTCCTCGGCCCAGAAAAAAATCACGTAAATTGGACTCTTTAATATACAGAGCCCCTGTCGAAGAGATCCGCCGTAATCCAGAGAGAAATTTCGGGAAAATATGTTATCAACGTGTCCAGCAGAACGATAAGAATAAGACTTAATGAAAATAATTTACGTGGATGCATTTCTCAGCATAAGCCACATGATTCAAAAAAGAACATACAAGCTCGGTTGTCCTTTGCCCGTGAGCATTTGGAAAAGCCTTTAATTTTTTGGAAAAATGTCCTATGGAGTGATGAATCTAAATTTTGTAGATTCGAATCGGATGATAAGAGATATGTATGGTGTCCTCCGAATATGCAACATAATCTAAAATACATAAGTAAAACAATAAAACATGGTGGGGGTAATGTGATGGTGTCGACAGCATTTTCTGGGTATGGTGTTGGTGCTATACAAAAGATTGATACTCGTATGGACCAGTATTTATAACAGCCTATACTTCTAAAAACAATGATACCTTATGCAGAGGACAAAATGCCTCTTAGGTGGCGATTTATGAAAGATAATGATCCAAAACACACTTCACGCTAAGTGAGGTGTTGCTTGGAATCGGAAAATATCGGCGTGTTAAAATGGCCAGCCTAATCTCCGGATGTCAATCTTATTGAGAACCTTTGGGATGATGTGGAGCAGCATGTAATGAGAGAAAAGCCTATAAATTTGGCCGATTTATCGAAAGAAGTAGAAAAAGCTTGGAATGATATGTCAGTGAATCGCTGTATGGTCCTTATAGAAAGTATGCCAAGGAGACTAGGAGCTGTGATCAAAAATGAAGGGTATCCACCTAAGTACAAAGTTTTTAGTGCAATAAGTTTTTTTTTTTGTTTTGTTACTTGTTTATTTTGTGCTAAAATACTGTTCAGTGTTTTTTGGAGGTTATTTTATTTTGGGTAGAAAAACGCAAAATATAAATATAAAGGAATAATGCTGGACATGATGGGACGTGATCTTTGAAGGGCAAGTAACAAGCATGCAACAGATATCATAAACAAGTAAAAAAGCAGTAAGTTCGGTCGGGCCGAACTTTGAATACCCTCCATACCATTTGAAACGAATTAGGGCATTTTCACAAAATAGAAATAAAATCCATTAAAAATTCTGTTAAAATCTCGGAAGGTGCGGATATATGGGGGGTAAACGATATTGTTGACTTATATAGACAAATCTATGTCTGGGGATAAAGTACTCACAAATAACTCTATATAGAGAACCCCCTGTCAGGGGGTAAAGTGTTCACAAAGAACCCCTTGTGTAGAATTTCAGACAATTGCGTTGAAAAATGTGGCTAAAATCATCAAAATACCGAATATAGGGGGGTACTGTTATATGTGGATAATATGATATCGTGGACCTATATAGATAATTCTCTTTCAATGAATAAAGTACTCACAAGAAATTCGTTTGGCGGATTTTCAGACAATTCCATTGGAACATCAAAATACCGAATATCGGGGGATACCGTTATATGGGGTTTATACGATATTTTGTCACATGTAGACAATTCCCTTTCAGGTGGTAAAGTGCTCACAAGGAACCCCTTGTGTAGAATTTTAAACAATTCCGTCAAAAAATGCGACTAAAATAATCGAAATACCGAATATCGGGGGTACCGTTATATGGGGGATATACGATATCTTAGACCTATATAGACAATACTCTTTCAGGGGGTAAAGTGCCTACAAAGAACTCCTCGCGTGGATTTTTAGACTATTCTATTAGAAAATGTGGCTAAAATCATCAAAATACCGAATATCGGGGGGTACCGTTATATGGGAGCTATACAATATCGTGGACCGATGTAGCCCATCTTCGAACATGAACTGCCTGCAGACAAAAGAGAGATATTGGCAAAATTTTAGCTTCCAATTAATTCGTTTAGCCTGTAGCGTGATTACAACAGACGGACAGACGGACGGACAGGGCTAAGTCGTCTTAGAATTTTGCGCTGATCAAGAATATATATACTTTGTTGGGTCTAAAATGATTATTTCGATGAGTTACAAACGGAATGACGAACTTAATATACCCTCCATACTATGTATGGTGGAGGATATTAAAATTAGGAAATATAGGAAATATTTGCGTTTAAAAATAGCAAGTAGCTAGTATGGTAACCTCATGGCCACCGCCTTCCTATAGCTCTCAAAAAAATCCACCCTTTATGTGTCGGTTTTTAGTTGCCAAAACGAACTATTTATTTCACGCCTTGAGAAAATAGTTTATTAGTTGAATCCATTGATACGAAATCCATTATTTGGTAATGGAAATTAATGATGGGTTTTCTTGTCGACTAGCGTAAACGTTAAGCCAGGATAGAGCTATATGCTGCTTGCATCATAATCGCTACGTTCGCCACCCGTACAAATATTCTTGGCAATCTTGTGTCTATTTCGCTTTCTGAGAATGATATTTCTGGGTTCTCCTGTCTCTATTATCATTTCAAATTTAAGCCACAAATGGATTAGAGATTAAAAACATTCATTGATCACTCTCTATTCGTTATTACATTTGGAAATGGTGTTGCAGTGGCGATCATACACCATCTGTACACACATATTTAGTTTGTCTAAATACTACGTTGACATTATCACTTAACAACAAAATAAACTAAACACTAGCCGGCTTTAATATTTTAAAAATAAACAACTGTATTTGATTCTCCCTTATCTCACTCAGCTTGTAGTGGTCGATGATTGGCGAAAATTTTCCAAAAAAAAAAAAAAAAAAAAGAGATACGACGACGAAATGAGATAAACTCGAAATTTCAAGCAGTCCGAATGATCCTCGATAACTACTTAAGAGCTGCTGCTGGTGTCCGATGGTTGTTAGTATTCAAAAGATATTCGTAGAAGAAACACACAAAAAGTAGGAGAAGAAAAACGAAACGGAACGGAATGGCGGCTAACCTGGGAGGAACTGTTTACAATGCAGCGGAGAAAATCTGGTGTGGACCGAAATGCAAAGAAATCTATAGCCGTGACATGACTGTGGGCGAGGCCATTGTAATGCAATTGCGTAGAACTCCCCAGAAAGTGATACAAATTATCGAGTCTACCGGGGAGACACTGACGGCTCAAGAATTTCTAAATTACAGTATGGCATTGGCGAAAAATACTCTCGAAATGGGCGTAGACGCTGGGGATATTGTGGGCGTCTATGCCAAACATTCGCTGCATTTGGGCACAGTTATGTTGGCGGCCTTTTTGTGTGGCACTCCGGTGCATGGAGTGTTTCATGGTTTTGAAAAAGGTATGGAAATGTCGAATTTGTATCTTGCAGAATTCAAAATTATTAAAAAATATATACATGTGTGTTTTAGATACCATAACAAAACTCTATGAAACCACCCGGCCAAAGCTTATCTTCTGCGATGAGGAAAACTATAATAAGGTGCTTTATGTAATGGAGACGTTGAAATTAAATGCCAAAATTGTGTTGATGACTGGTAGTTTAAAGGGTATCTTAAATATCAAGGATTTGGTGACTTATCGTAAGGATATTGGTGATATTTCAAGTTTTCCCTGCACCAAATTGTCCAGTGCTGACACGGCAGCCATATTGTGTTCATCTGGTACAACGGGCACACCAAAGGGAGTGATGTGCTCACATCAATCAATGCTGCACAATCTTCTATAGTAAGTATAATTACAGTGTGCACAGTAAATATTTTATTGAAGGGAGGTAGGGGAAAATTCTTTAAGAACGATATTTCGAAAAAAATGAAACATAAGAATTTTGCCATACAAGAAATTTTCTAGCGGTACAGGGTATAATGTTCATTGTCTCACATTCTGAGTGGATTTATGCATGTCCGTCCGTCTGTCCATGTATTTTTGTAAACAAAGCACAGATCGCATTTATTGTCTGATTGATATGAAGTTTCCCACAAATTATTTGTTTGGCCCTAGGACAAACCCTCTTGAAATTGGTGATAATCGAATCAGATTTAAATATAGCTCCCATGAAGTGTCGTCCGATTTCGTAAGTATTGTGCATTAAATTATGTTTAGAATACATGGCCCCGTTCGGTCCAGAAGTATGTCTGGCAATCTTGGTTTCAAATTCATATATAGCTCCCATATAAATTTCAATCCGATGTAAGTTTTGGGTGATGGGTTTAATATGGTTACTTTGATATTTAAACTTTCAGACCCCCGATAACACCTCCATAGTGTGGAGGGTATATTAAGTTTGTCATTCCGTTTATAACGCCTCGAAATATACATTTTAGACCCCACAATGTATGCATATTCTTGATCAGCATAATATTCTATGTCGTATATTCTAAGATTCTTACAATCACTCTAGCTTCCGAACGAAATGAAGTAGGTTGATAAAATTTTACTCAAATGTATATTTTGTCTGCAGGACTTTTGGTATTGAAAATGGGCCATGTAAGTCCACGTCTTCGTATAGCCCCCATATAACGGTACCCCCGATATTCAGTATTTTGATGATTTTAGCGACATTATTTACCGGAATTGTTTCAAATTTGGTATTTGAAGTTCGAAATGGATACTACATCCTAACACAGAAAATGGGCCATGTAGGTCCACTCTTCGTATAGCCCCCATATAACGGTACGCCCCGATATTCGGTATTCTGATGATTTTAGCGACATTATTTACCGGAATCGTTTCAAATTTGGTATTTGAAGTTCGTAATAGATACTACAGCATAAAACAGAAAATGGGCCATGTAGGTCACTTTTTCGTATAGCGACATTATTTACCGGAATTGTTTAAAATTTCGCATTTGAAGTTTGTAATGGATACTACAGCCTATGACAAAAAATTGTCTGTGCAAGTTCACGTTTTACAACTCCCATGGTTCCTCCCTATATTCGGAATTTTGATGATGTTAGCTACATTATAAACAGATTTTTTTCAAGTTTCGCATATGAATATTGTAATAGCTTGTGACAAAAGTTGCCTATGCAGGTCCACGTCGTCGTACAGAATTTTTAATGGATTTTATTATTTTTGAAAATTGCCAAATTTGAACCAAATGGTGGAGGGTATTCAAAGTTCGACCCGGCCGAACTTACATTTTTTACTTGTTATACCTTCCTTCATAGTATAGTGGGTAAATTAAGTATGTCGTTCCGTTTGTCTGTTGAAATCGCGATGCAGCCCACATGTGGCAGAACCTTGTATTGTGCCTGGAATGGTTGGTATTGAATATGAGACATAGCGGTCCACGGTTTGGAATTGCCGCCATATAACGGTACCTCCCGATATTCGGTATTTTGCTGATTTTCGCCACATTTTGTTACGGGTTTGTCCAAAAATTGGTATTTGTAGTTCGTAATGGGTTTTAGCTCTTGTGACGGAACATAGTATACATATGTCAATATTTTCGAATTTTGATTTATAATGGGTTCTAGTTCCGGAGGCAGAACATTGAAAATTTAGGTGTACGTTTTTCCATAGCGCACATATAATGATACCCGCCGATATTCGATATTTTGATAATCCCTGTCACATTTACCTACGAAATGGTTTCAAATTTGGTATTTAAGAGGATTAGGTAGATGAAAATCCTTGAAGTATAAAATTGTCTATAGTGGTTCCCGTGTTGGTATGGGCCCCCACTTTATGGGTTTTTGTAGAATTTAACAGCATTATCCGAACGGTCTTATTGTGGAACACGCTTAAAAAATATAAAAATGTTTTCTTTACCCAAAGGTGGAGGGTTTTAAAAGTTCGGCCGAACTTAATGTTTTTTTACTTGTTTTTATAACAGTTTACGGGAACAAAAATTATCAAATTGGATAAAACACATATAAATCTGAACCATAGCAATATCTGAACTGATTTTCATTAAATTTCATAAAATTTTAATTTTAAATAAGATGATTTGAATTTTCCACTTAAAAGTAAGCCAGCATTTTAAACAAATTAATGTTTGAAAAAGCCAATTAAAAACGTGTTGTAAAAGGTCGACTTTTTGAAATACGCCCCTTGTATGATAACCCAGATTATATACAGCTGTACCAAAATTTGTACCTATTTTGATAATTTTTTGTGCATAGCATTTTTGCATAATAGGCACTCAAAATTTCAGAGTTTTGGAAAATTAAAGGGCCAAAACGTAAACAAATACAGTTATCCCAAAAAATGGTCCGATTTGACCCATTTCGTGTGCTAATGATTCGGAATGTAATCCAAAAATCTTCAACAAATTTCAAAGCTCAATTTTCAATTTTGCTAAAAAAAAATATCTCAAAGGCATATTGTCAACATTCTATATAAGGCCTTATCAACTTTTGCCCTAAGAACCCAAAACTCCTTTGGGATTTTCATCTAAGAACGAGTACTATCAAGTCTTTTTGGCATTTTCCACAACTCACTCTGGCTCTGATATAGAATAATTCTTCCCTTAACACTTTTCATAAAAAAATCAAGTATAAAGGGTGATTCGACTCGAATTGGATACTTATTAAATTACGAGTAAAAAATCAGACATATTTTTCACTTTTAGTTTATAAATTTTTGAATATAATATTCATAAGAACTATTTTATCTAGATATGCAGTTTATTATGAGATTTATGATGAAAATTTGTGTAGGAAATTTTTTTCGTTTCACAATTTTCGCCTTAAAAGAAATTTTATGTTACTTGCAGGCAATAACTCGAAAAAAGTCAGAGGAAAAATTGGGAAATATCTTCGGTTTGTTTTTGGAACATTGAGGCAAATATTTTTTAGATATGTAGTGGAGTTAGAGATATTTCTTTTCTTTGGTGACTTTTAGTTAAATTAAATATTTTTGTCTTTGACGCCATCCTTCGAAAATTATGATTTATTGGAGATTTGTTCACCAATTCACAAAAATTAAGGTTTTATGACTTCCCGGCGTTTAAGTAAGATTTAAACTCTTGACGTTATATAGGATCTACAATAGAATTTGACCATATTAAAAATAGGACCAAAAGGACCCCTCTGTTGACCCGCGTGAGAGATGACATTTTCAACCAAAATATTATACATATTTTATCTACAATATTGCCGAAAACACTATATACATAAATTGCACGAATTCCTAGGAATCGTATTCTGAAAATTTTCATAAATATCGAAAAGGGAGGAAATTGGCCCCTATATTTTGGTTACTTTTCGATGTAAACTTTCAAAACGCCGAAACACATGTCTTCTTCATTTTAGCTCTACTTTCATAATTTGCTGGATTTCAGCCCTAATTATTTCTCTCTTTTTTATCTCTTCTCTCCCACTCCAGTCTCACCGCCACCATGGACTCGGTATTGATGTGTTTCAGTACCATGTACTGGGCATCGGGTGTTATGAATCTGGTACAAAGTTTATTATATTCAACGCTGCGCATCGTTCCCGATCGTGCCTATAGTCCGGAATATTTTCTCGAATTAGTGGAACGTTATAAGGTTACACACATCTTTGCAACTGGAGCCCAAATGGCAGATTTAGTTTTGAATACGGATAAAGAAAAGGCCCGCTCTGCCCTCAGATCCATTGATACCCTGATGGCTGGCGGTGCCAAAGTTCCACAGGCCATACAAGAACAAATGTTTGAAATCCTCGGTGATAATACCAAGCGTCCCGGTTTCACAATTGGTTATGGTTTATCCGAGATAATGGGTGGTGTTAGCCTCAATGGTGGTTATCCGTTTGAGTTTAAGCCAGATTCGGAGGGTAAATTATGGATCAACAGAGAGGCATGTATTGTGGGTGAGAATGGCCAACGATTGGGTCCCAATGAAACGGGAGAGGTTTATGTTCACAGCCCCTATACCTGGATGGGTTATTACAAAAATCCCGAGGCTACAGACCAAGCCAAGCACGGTAAGTGGATAAGGACTGGAGATGTGGGTTATTTTGACAGCGAGGGGTTCCTACATTTGATTGGACGAGCCAAAGAAATGTTCAAATGGAAGAATTTCCAAATATGTCCCCAGCCCATAGAAGAGGTACTACAGCGCATACCTGGAGTGGCCGAGGTCTGTGTATTTCCCATTCCCGATCTGGTGGCTGAAAATTTGGCAGCTTGTGCCATTGTAAGGACCAAAGATGTCGAAGGCAATCAACTGACCGCCCAAATGGTGAATGAGGTCATCGAACGGGAAATGGACAGTTTCTATCATCTACGTGGTGGGGTCTATTTTGTGGACGCTCTGCCGCGCACCGACACCGGCAAAGTACAACGTCTGAAAATGTCCCAAATAATTGGAGAAATTGATAGATAAATGGCATACTACTTAGTTTATAAATTTAATAGAATAACTGATTATATTTTAAGTAACTATGAAAATATTCGATAAGATCGTTATTATGAAACAGATGTATTTGTATTGGTTGTCTATTTTTATTTTTTGAAGTTTCCATTGTTACCAGGCCGATGCAAATGAATTATGAGGAGTTCCTCATTACGATAACACTTCAAGGGTTGCGATAAGAACTCTTGGTGAGATATGTGAATGGAGAGTAATCACAGCGTCTGAAGTTTATTTTTCGAGTGGCAAAAGGCCGAATGTTATCAGACCACATATGCATATTATTAGTTTGAAAGTGGAAAGCACTTATGACAAAGAGAACTAATTTTATTGAAAAAATAACTTTCGTTATAGTCACGTGTACGGTGTGTGAACTTGGCACAGCAGACATTCAGAATCTGATTTGGAAAATTTCAAATTGATATATATATATATATATATATATATATATATATATATATATATATATATATATATATATATATATATATATATATATATATTGTCGATACTACAGCACAATACCTCTTGATACTATTTGTTCCCAATTTTTTACATTGTAATATTTAGGTGAAATAATGGATCTGAATCTGTGTCCGATTTTTATACCCTACACCACATAGTGGTAAGGGTATTATGTCTTTGTGCATTTGTTTGTAACATGGAGAAGGAAGCGAGATAGGTCCATACTTACTTTTGAGGATCATCATAGAATCACATTTTGAGTCGATTTATGCATGTCAGTCCGTCCGTCCGTCTGTCCACACATCCACAAATACCTCTGGACAATGCTATGGAGATAGGATCAGATTAGAATATAGATCGCTTATGCGAACAGTACTAAATGTGAAACAGTTTATTTTAGGCTCAACGGATGAAGCAATATTTTTTATACCCTACACCACAAGGTGTCAGGGTGTTATGTCTTTGTACATTTGTTTGTAACAGGCAAAAGGAAACGAGATAGACCCTTAGTTCCTTTTGATGATCTGCATAGAATCACATTCTGAGTCGATTTATGCATATCCGTCCGTCCGTCTGTCCATGTATTTTTGTAAGCAAAGTACAGTTCGCATTTATTGTCCTATCCAGATGAAATTTTGTACAAATCATTTGTTTGGCTCAAGGACAAACCCTATTGAAATTGGAGATAATCGGTCAAAATTTAGATATAGCTCCCATTTATATCTTCGTCCGATTTGCCTTGTGCACCAAACGTGTAATATAAGCCCGAATAGTATGAAATTTTGCACATACAACCAAATTAGGCCTGAAAATATGTATGCAAAATTATTATTAATAAATTATATATTGTCCATCCGATTTGTTATTTTTGTCCTCCGCAGCCGTAATATGCACTCTGTAACAACTATATTTGGGGAAATTTATCAAATGCAGCTCAGAAATACCTTTGCTAAATTTTATCGAGATCGTTTCAGATTTGGATATATCTCCCATATATAACTTCGTCCGATTAACCTTTATTGTGAACCAAACGTCTAATATTTGTCCAAATGGGATGGAATTTGGCACTTACGACCGAATTGAGTCTAGAAGCTAGCATGTCAAATTTGGTGAAGACCGGTTCAGATATAGCTATAGCTCTCATATATACTGTTCATCTGATTTGTTATATTTGTTACCCACAGCCGTAATATGCATTCCGTAACAACGATATTCAGGGAAATATATCAAATACAGCTCAGAAATATCTTTGCCAAATTTTATCGAGATCAGTTCCGATATGGATATAGCTCCCATATATGTCTTTATCCGATTTCAAATTAATTGTGCACCAAATGGGCAATACAAGTCCGAATTTAAAAGATACAAATGCTTTGGCATATTTAGTCCTTTTAACTTTAAATTAGCCCGACGTCAAGGAAGTGGACGGAAGCAAACAGCAACATCAGTAGAAATGGTTCGAAAAATAAAGAAGCGACTTGATCGAAACCCCCGTCGTAGTGGCTGAAAAATGGCTCGTGAGCTGAACAAACCGCAATATTCCATTCAGATATATTGAAAAATAAGTTCGGGGTAAAGCCATTGAAATTCCAAAAAGTACAAGAATTTACACCGGAACAGAAAGAAAATAGACTCAAAAGAGCTAAAGAGTTGCTTGGCTTGGCCGAAAGCGGTGAACTGGCGAATTAGTTTTTCTCCGATGAGAAAACATTCGATGTCGAGCAGTGTGTAAACAAACAAAATGATCGTGTTTACTTGCCAAAGACATCAGCTGAAAATGAGCACCTTTGGTTGGCCACCAGAACTCAAGCGCCAGCAATCGTGGCATCAGAATAAAGGTCGAATATTATCGCGAAAATATTCTGGAGCACCATTGCACACAGCACGCGCCACCCAAGAATGGTTACAAAATGAGGTTCCTTGCTTAATTTCCAGCGCACAATGGCCACAGAAATCTCCGGATACCAATCCGTTTGACTATTGTGTCTGGAGTATTTTGGAAAGCAAGGTTGGCACTAAAAAATACCAAAGTGTCGATCACCTCAAGCAAGCGCTTCGTCGGAAATGGGGCAAAATACCGCAGAAATGGTTTCATTGGCCGTTTGAAGCCCATAATTCGTGCCAAAGGTGGCAGATTCGAACAAATCTAAACTTATTCTAAAATATGATGCTATTTCCAACATTTTTTGCTTTCATTCAATAACATTCAAAAAAAAAAAAATAAATAAATAAATAAAAATTATGACTTTTGACATTTTTCTTTGCATTTTTTTATCTCACCCTGTACATATGGAGACGTTGAAGTAGTTTTGGACAAAAAGTCCATTGTGCTATGGTTTTAATAATTTTAGATTTGATTGGATAAAAAACTCTGATAAACACGAACAGTTGGAACGAATCTAAGAATTTAAAAGTGGACTTTTCATGACGAAGTGGTGTGAAAATCCTAGTGTTAAATATTAATGGAATTCAGCGAATCAATCTAAAAGAATTATACAGATTTCGTCACATTTGAAAATTAAAGAAAATTCTTGTTTTGAATTGGTATTTCTCAGCTAATGGGATAATATTGTAACCTTTCCAGATTTTTTTCTTTAAACGTAAGAGAATGTTTTTTATTATAACATACATAGCATAGAGGACTATCTAATGAGTAATTTTAGTTTACAAAAATGTTAAAAAAACGAAATTCGAAAATATAAAACACGTGTTGAAATAGTGATTTTTTGAAAGGAAAAGTGTGTAATTTATAATAAATTCGAGGCAGGTTCGTCAATCGACACTTATCGTATTATTAAGTTTAAAATTACAATAATGGTATAAAATTCCCCATTTGTGGGTGTCATTGATTTAATTGTGGTATCAACCATTGGAAATCGGTGACAACTGCAATTCTTTACAATATCATTTTGTGAAAAAATACCAGAAAGGGTCGATCGATATTGTCCGTTTTTCATATGAGATCTAGTTTTAAGAGCTAAGGTATGACTTACGCTTTTCCCGAAGATATTACAAACAATATTATTACCAGAAAAGGAATTAACAACTATTTTGGCAACCCTAAACGATAACATATATGAGTGCTTATAGTTTTCATATCAAAAAAGTCTCTGTAGTGAAAAAAGCTTTCAATATATTCGTTCTAGATTAAGCACAAGTAGTTTGCAAAAGCTCGCACAGTGGTACAAATTAACGTACTAAAGTACTTTCTCCAAATATAAAACAAGTAAGCAAAGGCTATAGTCGTGCGTATTTATTTATTTTCAATTTGTACAGAAACCAAGCCGACAGGACCATGGACGGTTCCATCAACTTCTATACATGACTACTCTAAATAAATTATAATATCCTTAATCCTAAAAGACTTACTTAAAACCAGTAAAGAAAGTCTTAAAATCGGGAAGGGCCGATTTTATGATACCCTACACCACTTTGCTAATTTAGTTGAGCTCCACTTAATAATTAAAAGTTTTTATGGGAGAATTCAATCATACACGCTATGATTTTAATTCTAATTTAAAATTCAAAGGACTAAATATGCCGAAGCATTTGTATCTTTTAAATTCGGACTTGTATTGCCCATTTGGTGCGAAATTAATTTGAAATCGGATAAAAATATATATGGGAACTATACCCAAATCTGAACCGATCTCGATAAAATTTGGCAAAGATATTTCTGAGCTGTATTTGATATATTTCCCTGAATATCGTTGTTACGGAGTGCATATTACGGCTGTGGGTAACATATACAATAAATCGGATGTACAATATATATGGGAGCTATAACTATATCTGAACCGATCTTCACCAAATTTGACATACTTCCTTCTAGACTAAATTCGGTCGTATGTGCCAAATTCCATCCCATTTGGACAAATATTAGACGTTTGGTGCACAATAAATGGTAAATCGGACGAAGTTATATATGGGAGCTATATCCAAATCTGAACCGATCTCGATAAAATTTAGCAAAGGTATTTCTGAGCTGCATTTGATATATTTCCCCAAATATTGTTGTTACAGAGTGCATATTACGGCTGCGGAGGACAAAAATAACAAATCGGGTGAACAATATATATGGGAGCTATAGCTATATCTGAACCGATTTCGATAAAATTTGGCATACTTATTTTCAGGCCTAATTTAGTTGTATGTGCAAAATTCCATACTATTCGGGCTGATATTACACGTTTGGTGCACAATAAAAGCAAATCGGACGAAGATATATATGGGAGCTATATCTAAATTTTTACCGATTATCTCCAATTTCAATAGGGTTCGTCTTTGGGCCAAACAAATGTTGTTTGCAAAATTTCATCTCAATCGGATAATAAATGCGACCTGCATTTTGTTCACAAAAATACATGGACAGACGGACGGACGGACGGACGGACGGATAAACGGACTGACATGCATAAATCAACTAACTAACTATCAACTATGGGTCTATCTCGTTTCCTTTTGCCTGTTACAAACAAATGCACAAAGACATAATACCCTGACCACCTTGTGGTGTAGGGTATAATTAAACACTATAACAAATTAACAAAAAATTAACAAAATTAACAATTGATGAATTGAACTATTCATAACATCCTTAATC